TCCCTCGAGTTTACAATGAACATTTTTTAATTAATTAGATTCAATTTTCAAGGAATATTCTACTTCATGTGTTATATAAGCATCTTATGACAGTTTATTCCCAATCCTTCCCTCCCATCTTTTGTGCCATTACTGTCAAGCATTTTACTTTTACATATGCTATGAACACATAATACACTGCTGCTCTCTTTTAGAACAATTAAAAGGAAGAAAAATGAGTTTTATTTTCATATTCACTTATTCCACTTCTATTACTTTTCATTTTTTATGTAAAATCCAAGTATCTACTGGTAGCATATTCCTTCCCTTAAACAATTTCCAATTTCCTTTAATATTTCCTAGTGCAATATATATACACATTTTTCTCTATAAGCAATTAATTTTTTTTATTTTTGTTTGAGAAAGCATGTCTCCATGTTTAGAGATTTTTTTCTGGGTATAGAATTATGGATTAGCAGTTTTTTATTTCAGCATGTTAAAGATGTCACTCTATTGTCTTCTGGCTTACCTGTTTTATCATGAAAAGTCTGCAGTATTTCTTATCTTTGTTTCTCTGTATGTAATGTGTCTTTTTTCTCTTGCTACCTTTACAATTTTGTCTTTGGTTTTCAGCAATTTAAATATGCTAACCATAGGGATATTTTCGGTGGTGTTGGTGGTGGAATTGTTCTCCTACTTGTTTTTTTCTTAGCTTCTTGGATCTATGGCGGTATTTGTCATTCACAGTGGAAATGTTTGTCAGTCATTATTTCTTTAAATATCACTTGTCTTGTGCTCTCTTTCCTTCTGGGATCATACTTGCACAGATCCTAGGCAGTCTGGTATTGCACCACAGCTCTTGGATGTTCTGTTGTGCATCCCACCCCACCCCCCACCTCCCACCAACCCTTTTTTTCTCTGTGTGTTTCAATTTGAGTAATTTCTATTGATCCATCTTGATGTTCACGGATTCTTTTCTCAGTTGTGTAAAGCGTACTGATCAGCCCCTTGAAGTCATTCGTCATCCCTCTTACTGTGTTTTTTCATTTCTAGCATTTCCATTTGATTCTTTTTTCTAAGTTTCTCCTCTCTGCTGGAGAGAAATTAATCATCAAGTCTTGTATCGTATCCCCCTTTTCTATTAGAGTATTCAACTTATTAAGCAGTTATTCTAAATTCCACATCTGAGAGTTTCAATACCTGTGTCATAGCTGAGTCTTGTTCTGTCAAATGCTTTGTCTCTTGTCAACATGTTGAGGGGGGATTTTCTGGTCTTTTCTTATGCTAGCAGTTTTCTGTTGAAAGCTAGACATCTTGAATAGAACAATAAAGACTGAGGTACATCATTTTGATTCTTGGAATTAAGTGTGCCTTACCTTTTGCTATGTCTTTAGCATGGGGCTTACATTAGTCTAGTCAGGACTTGAGGTAGGTTTTGGTTTCGTTGCTACTTTGGTTGCCCTTAGGGCACTCAGCCTTAAAATTTCACTAGTGATATCTTGTGTTTTGCTGGAAGACTTTTCTCGCAGTCTTCTTCCTGCATCCTTTCTTCAAATTCTGTCCCTCTTCTGCTATTACTTGCAGCTTGTTAGCCTGGGTATGGAAGTGGGAAGGTTGATGTTTTTGTTATTCTAATTAAGTTTCTGTCTTAGGCTGGTATTGTGTCCTGGATCTTAGAAAGGGAGTGAACTTCCCCAGCAGCAGTTCTGGGCTCAGCATGTAGTCCCCGCCTCTTCCCCAGGGAAAAAGAGGGGGTTTTTTTGTTTTGTTTTGTTTATTTCCTCCTTCCACCTCAAGCATTACTGGGGAAAGACCCCAGGGCCCTAAGGCCAACAGTGTTTACTGCCCTGCCCTCACAACTTAAGCTTTTGTTCTTTAGTATAGATAGAGGAGCAAGATCTATGAAGAACACTTCTCAGAACTCTTGCCAATCTTTTTGTGAGCACCAGGTTGGGTCCCACGGAAAGGGGTCTACAAGTACATTTGAATTTCCCTTATAGTCCCCAGGGTTCTAAATATTCTTTCACTAGGCTGCATTCTTCCTTTACCAATTTATAAACAATTTTAGCTGAATTCTTTTTACCAGAGTCCAGCTGAGTCTGCCCCAGTGAAAGTCATGTCCATTTCTCCTTGTGTCCACCCATCTGTCCTTAGATTTGGAGATAGTTGGCTGCCCTGTGACTTCCACTCTCTACTGGGTTAAAGGAAAGTTGTGTATCTGCAGTTTGTCTAGCTTGTTGTTGTAATGATAGCACCACACTCTTCTGGAAACAGAAGCCAGAAATGTCCATTCATTTTTGGAAAATAAGTACTGAAAATATGTCCAGGCGGGTTTGAGATGGTGTCTGTATGTTTTCAGGTTAAATAGGAGATCCATTTCAAGGAAAAAAAAACAATTTGCTGGCTTATTTTGAAAAGCATTTGCTGTTCCTGACATTGCCACCAGAGGGCAAGTCGCCCATCACTACATATCTCACAGGGTGAGGCCAGGTTTCCAATTGGGAAAAGTGAATGTGTAAAGTGGGAGGCAGAGGCATCCAAAGCGGCGAATGCTTGCAGGGAGGGCCTGTTCTCAAGGCCTTCCAGGCCTGTGCAGCTCTGCGTTGGTCTCTCAGTCCCTCTGGCCCTCGCCCTCACCCACATGCCACAGTTGTACCCTCTGCAGAGAAAAGAGATGCCTTTCATTGCAAGCACGCATGTCCCTAGAGCCTGAGTACCTGGCCCTCACCCTACTAACATTCATGCTGAGAGGCGCCCAAGACCCTTCTAAGTGGTCAGGTTCTAGCAACTTCGGGTGAGTCCAGCCTTCTGCTCAGCAGGGCACAGCCCAGGGAGTCAGTTCCAATCCAAAGACTGAGGATAAAAATTCCCAGGAGCCCCGTGGTAGGGAGTTGAGGCTGAGGGGCATGTGGATCTGTACTATGTTTGTTGGTTTATCTGAAACAAATAAACCAAAATCATAGTGAGAGAAGTTTGGTTCTCATACAAATAAAGTCTAAAACGGGTGTTCCTGATTGGCAAGTAGATCTTCTCCAAGTGGGGGAGTCAGAGGCTCACCCCTGCCATCTTCTAGCACCACCCTTTTAAGCATACAGGAGGATGGGGAGGGGTGTGGGGATAAGGCCGCCGACACCTAACCACACTGCCCAGCACCTCCCACAATGCTTCTGCTCTCATGCCATCAGTAGAGCCAAGCTCCTGTTAAGTGCTGGGGGCTGGGAAGTGTAGCCATGGCTGGGCGGACACCTCCCAGCAGCACCCCTCCCCCAGGAAGGAGTGGACAGCCAGACCCAAATTGCCCAAGTTGTACCTGCAGTAACTACTTCCAACAGGTTATTGCTCTAGGACAATATTTTCCAGATTTGTATGATTTTAAAAGTCACAGAGGATGCTTAATTAAAATATAACCCTTCATTTCTTTCCCTGGACATTCTGGTTTGTCCATCTGCCTGGGGGCCTGGAATCAGTGCCTTTATCAAGCACTCCAGAGAGCTATGCTGCCCTAGCAAGTGTTTACAGAAGGATCCATTGCCATCCCCACCCCTTCCCAGTGGGTGGGAAGCCAGGCCAACTCTCTGATTCGTGTTGAATCGTGGAACTGTGGGAAAGGCTTCTGGTCATGGCCAGAGGGAGGCAGGTCCTGACGCAGCCCTGCATGCAGCCCTCCCTGCGCGTGACTACCCAGCCACTGAGTCCTGGGAGGGGCAGCCTGTAGGTCATGGCCATGTCAAGGCAGAACCCAGCCGCCTATGGCTGGGGCAGACCAAGCCTCCCTGGACCGACCAAACCAGAGCACAGTACTGCCTGTCCCCAGCCACTTTAAACAGAAACACCCCCACCCCCCACCCCCAGCAAAACAGTGTTTCCTTTATCTGGGAGTGGAGGGTTATTTGTGCTCCTATTTTCTCTCAGCAACACTGGAGGGCAGCAGTGAGTCAGTGTTTGCAGTTTTTTATTAGAAAGTCAACTCTTAATAGTATTCAGTCATAGATTTTATTTACTTATTTGCTTTTTTGTTCTTTCCGTGACACCCTTGCCATGAATCACGGGAAATGACACCAGGCTCATGGCCACGGGGTGGCGAGGGGGAGGAGGAGGGAGGGGCAGAGTGAGGAGGCGGAGGTAGGGTAAACCCAGGGGAGGAGCAAGCTGCTGAAGCTGTTCTCTTGTTCTCACTGGGCGCTGGGTCCCACAGCAGCTCAGAAGCTTCTAGCAGATACAGGCAAACCCTGTGAATACCCCCACTCCGCCCCAGCCTTTCTGAGATGGGCCAAGACTTTCCCCAGGTGGGCGTTTCACTCCGGAGCGTTTGTGATGAATGGATCCCTGGGTGCGGGCCAGTCTGTCCTCGCTGCAGTTTCCGCCTACACGTTACTTCCTCAGAAGCCTCCCTAACCCGCCCTAAAAGGCTTGCCATAGCTCCCCACACCCCGGAGTCTGTGGTTCACTCTGCAGGGTACTTGTCACCACCTGAGATTATGAGATTTTTTTGGTTACCTGGGAGCTCCCCCCCCCCCCCCCCCCAACTAATACAGAATTACTGAATGCGTTCACAAATGAGCAGATTGGCGGCAGCCCTTACTTGCCTAATTTGTACACTGTGAGGTGACCAAGAGCCCGGCTTGGGTCCTTCCTCCGAAATAACAGAAACAGCAATAGGTTTTTGGGTTTTTTTGTTTGTTTTTTGGTTTTTTGGGTTTTTTTGTCTGCTGCCAAACCGCGGTACCTCCCTTCTTACAGACCCAAATCGTTAGCAGAACCCCGGTGATGTCTCCAACTGCTCTTCCACGCCCACAATAAATATGAAGTATTTTAAACTCTCCGTAGTGGTTTTGACACCTGTGCTCTTAACGCTCCTGCTGGCACAGACGGTCTGTGTTCGTCTCCACTCGGTTTCCTTAATTAAGGAGACACCTGGTCTTGGAACTCCCTTTTCTGGCCTCCCTGGGGGTTGCTGGGGCCTGGAGCCTCTCAGCCCGCCCGTGGGCCACCTGGCACCGCGTCTCTCTCTTCTGTTCCAGCCGTGATCCCCCTGACGGATTCGGAGCACAAGCTGCTGCCTCTGCACTTTGCCGTGGACCCCGGGAAGGACTGGGAGTGGGGCAAGGACGACAACGATAACGCCCGGCTGGCCCAGTGAGCCCTTCCCCCGTGCCCCTCCCCCAACGCCCTAAAGGGCGGCCGTCGCGGGGTTTCCCGGCATGGGCTGGGCCGCCCGTGCTCCTCCGGAGACAGCTGGCGTGCCCGCGGGCGGGGTGCGTGCGGGCAAGCGCGGGCCCGCTGGGGCGCGTTTCACTCGGTCTTCTTCTTTCACCAGCCTGATCCTGTCGCTAGAAGCCAAGCTGAACCTTCTGCACAGCTACATGAATGTGACGTGGATCCGGATCCCCTCGGAGACCCGGGTGAGCCTGGCATGTGCCCGGCCCCGACCAGCTGGTTGGGTCCTGGCCGCTCACTCGCCGCCCGCGCGGGCGGGGGGCGCAGCCTGCAAACGCTGGCGGGTGGCTGGTCTCCCCAGCGCCTGCCCGGCCGCCCCCACCCGCCCGGCCTGGCTCTGGCGAGAGGGGTCTCGGGTTTAGCTGGAGCGTGTTTGCCCGCGTGCTTGCGTGTCGTATGTAGGCACTCGCTCCGGCTAGGGAGGTGGTTGGTGGGGATTTTTTTTTTTTTTTTTTTTTTTTGGTCCCTTTATTTTCTCCAGAAGGAAAGGAATAAACACACCCACTCAGAAAACAAACCGTAGGCAAGTCACAACACAAAACTATCTCTGCCGAGATCGGAACACAATGTGCTGCAGCGGAGCAGAATTAATTATAAACTGTGTGTGGGTCCTTGGAAAAGTCAGGGAACCGGGAGCGCAATTCCTCAGCGCCCCCTCCTTCTCTCCGCCTTCTCCATCCTCTGGGAGGGCAGTGAGAAGAGGAGCTGCCCGCCCCCACAGGGCTCCTCCCCCAGGGAGAGTCTGTTCTGTCCCTGCTTGGAGATGCTAAGGATTCACTTTAAATGTCTGACTGATGTTTTTGTTATCTCAATAGTGAACCCTCAGTGAAAGGGATTCGTATTACATGTATTTAAAAAAAAAAAAAAAAAGACCCCCTTAGACATCAGTACACTTGGCCAATGGCCATGAGGTGGGGCTCATAAGCAATATTAAAAGGGCAACTGGAGGAAGGCAGTAGGGTGGTGCCTGGCACAGAGTCGGTAGCCAGGCTATGCCAGGCCCTGCTCAGGATGTTTTCATACATCAGCCTTTACCTTTATTTAATCTTCATAAGACTCCTGGAGGCAGGTACTGATACCCATTATACTGAGGACACAAGGGGACAGCTGGTGACAGCCTGGCTCCAGAGTCCAGCCTCTTAACCTCCACAGTGACCTGTCAACTGCCTGGACGATGCCCGTGTTCCTGGGGGTGTTCTTTCCTAGCACACACACGTGGTGCGAAGACAGCAACTCTAGATCTAGAACCGGGAGGCTCTTGGTCTGGGACATAGCTCAGCATCGCAATGAGCAGAACCCCCTGCCAAGCCATGGCGGCCGCCATGTCAGATTTAGGGCCCCGCAACAACCTTCCACCCCGAGGACATTTCAGCCAGGGCTCCTTCTTCACTGAGCTCCCACCAATGGCCACTGCCAGCACCAAGCACAGCCCCTTTCCTGGGCTAAACCCCTGAGCTTCCGCCCTTCTGTGTCACTGAGAAACCATTTTGAGACCTCTTCCTCCTTCCAGACCCAGGACAGGGTGGGAAGAGGAAGAAAGGAATTTCAGACTGGGAGGTGGTGAGGGCTGGCTCCTGCTTGCTCCTGGGGACTTGGTTGCAGGAGGTCTCTTGGACCCCTGTCTTGGACTTACTTGGGGGAGGGAGAGGACAACAATAAAATGACAGAACAATGGGGCCTTCTCCCAGGATCTTCCCCTAGAGGCCAGGAAAAGCCCATTTCCGGGTAAGCACCAGCTCCAGCCACTCAGCCTCTAGTCGGAGGTTCCTGCTGTTCACCCAATGACGCTGTGGGAATTCTCTCTCCTCCCTCAAGAAGGAGCCTCCACAAGGCAGCAGTAGGTTGCACTCACTGCCTTTCTCAGGCTCTCCACCTCCCCCATGGTCCTCCAGGTGCCCACACTGGCCTTGCCCTCCTTACTGGCTGACCGTAAGCCTTGCCCAAGGTGTTCACAGTGATGCTCCCTCCTCACACCCTAGGAGACCTTTTTCTGGGAATGGTAACATCTTTCCTGCTAAGCGCAGGTCCTGCTTCAGAATCCTCAGTTTAACACTCTGCATTGTCTGTCTGTGGAAAGGAAACCCTAGAGTAAAATGGTCATCCTTGGAACTGAGGGCATATTTGTTCCAATGTGAGGGCAAGAGGTCTATCCCCTGCCTGGAATGAATAGGTGAGACACCCTTTTTAGGAGAGACACCTACAGATGCGGGTGAAGTGTGATCCTTTCCAGAAGGCCTCTCGCTCTAGAGGCCAGCTGGGACCTGTGTCTGGTCATAGACCAGCCTTGCCAGGGCTAGAAGGGCAGAATCTGGGCATGGTAATTCTAAAATGTTAGGGTCTGGAACTCAGAGCCAGGTGGGTATCTTCATTTTGCCCAAACTCCCCGCATCGGCTTTCCAGGCTACCAGCAACCTGAGCTCACCAAAAGGCATCCTGGATTGGGGCAGTGGGATCCCAAGGCCCCACCTTAGCAGACTGGGAGCCAGGGTGGTCTGCCTTTGTTGGTCCTACGTGAGGATGGCTCTTATCTAAACACCTTCCTTCTTTCCCTGACCCTCTACCGCTACAGGCCCCTCTGGCACAACCGGAATCCCCAACAGCCTCCGTGGGGGAGGACGTGCAGTCCCTGGCCGACTCCCTGGACTCGGATCGGGACTCGGTGTGCAGCAATTCCAACAGCAATAATGGCAAGATCGGCAAGGACAAGGAGAAGGAGAAGCAGCGCAAAGAGAAGGACAAGACCCGCGCGGACTCCGTGGCCAACAAGCTGGGTAGCTTCAGCAAGACGCTGGGCATCAAGCTAAAGAAAAACATGGGCGGCCTGGGCGGCCTGGTGCACGGCAAGATGGGCCGCGCTAACTCCGCCAACGGCAAGAACGGCGACGCACCGGAGCGCGGCAAGGAGAAGAAGGCCAAGTCGCGCAAGGGCAGCAAGGAGGAGTCGGGCGCGTCGGCGAGCACGTCGCCGTCGGAGAAGACCACACCGTCGCCCACGGACAAGGCGGCCGGGGCGTCCCCAGCCGAAAAGGGCGGCGGGCCGCGGGGCGACGCCTGGAAGTACAGCACGGACGTGAAGCTGAGCCTCAACATCCTACGCGCCGCCATGCAGGGGGAGCGCAAGTTCATCTTCGCCGGCCTGCTGCTCACCAGCCACCGGCACCAGTTCCACGAGGAGATGATAGGCTACTACCTGACCAGCGCACAGGAGCGCTTCAGCGCCGAGCAGGAGCAGCGACGCCGCGACGCCGCCGCCGCCGCCGCCGCCGC